TAGGTGCTTTAGACCACTGAGCCATCTCACCAGCCCCATTACTTTTCTTTTTGAGATAGACTTACTGTGCAGTCCATACTGACCTTGAACTTGCTAGGTGGCCCAAGCCAGCCTTGAATTAGAGATCCTTTTGCCTCAGCTTATGAGTGCTGTAATATGGGCAGCACCACGGGGGACTGGGAGCTGCAGTTCTGAAGCAGATCCTGTGTAGAGGGACAGGAGGGTGTTGCTCTGCAGGGCGCTGAGAGCTGTGATGAGCAAAGGACAGATGCCCGTGCGAGTGAAGGACAGAAGGTGTTGCAGAGGGCACAGTCCCTGGGAGGGGTTTAAAAGTTGAGATGGCCTTTTTGAGAAATAGAGAAGCTGACATGAGAAAGTAAGCCAGGTGTGGTGGCACATGACAAGGCTGAAGGAGGAAGGGTCCCCATGAGACCAAAGCCAGCCTGGGCTCCGTAGCAAGACCCTGCCTCAAACAAAAAGGGAACAGCACGAGCAAAGAGAGAATGCTGTCGGAGTTTGAGGCATTTGGGAAATTGCTGGCTGTTGACACACCACGCTTTCCATTTGAGGGAGAAGTGGTTGGTGACCCTCGCAGAGAAGCCGGCTCTCAAGCCCTGGGTGCCGTGCTGAGCCTTTGCCTTCCTGCTTCTTGCCTTGCAGCCGAGGCCTACGTTGGTGGGATGCTCTTTTGCCTGGGGATATTTCTCTCGTTCTACCTGTTGACCGTCCTCCTGGCCTGTTGGGAGAACTGGAGGTAAGATGGCGCTGTCGGGCCTCCCCCACTCAGGTGTGGATAGGAGCCTGTCGGGATCTCAGCGCAGTCTAACCATCATCCAGTGGCCCTGGTTGGAGGACCAAGGCTGGTCCCTCAGAGGGTCTGTCATTTGGGCTACTTCTCTGGAAGTCGGCCCCTCCCCTCAATCTCCTTCCCAAGCAGGGAGACCCTGAGTTGCTCCCCAGCCTAGGGGAACCCCAATCAAGGGTGGAGGACAGCCTTGTAAGGGGCAGAATGGGTGGTATGGGTGGAAGGAAGGCCAGCTGGGCCAGCACAGAGGGATCCTGGTCCCGGCCTATCTGCCTCTCCTCTGGATTCTCTCCCTACAGGCAGAGGAAGAAGACCCTTCTGCTGGCCATAGACCGAGCCTGCCCTGAGACGGGTACCTCCAGGGGGCCTGGGAGGGGAGGCAGGGCTTGCGTGGGCTGGAAAGTGGTTGGAGGAGGAAGTGCTGGGGGCTTTGGATTGTTCAGAGGGGCATAACTTCCTTGTGGCCATCCACCCTGACGCGCTACCCTGACAGCTGTCACCTGATCGGCTTGTTCTGTGTGCACCTGTGCTGTGCCCACTTCAGGCAGTGTGGCTCATGCCATCTGTTATTAACGCTTCTCTCTCTCTCTCTCTCTCTCTCTCTCTCTCTCTCTCTCTCTCTCTCTCTCTCTCTCTCTGTACCCTCCCACTTTCTGTCCTCCACTTCTGCTTGGGACCTTCTCTCTCAGCTTCTCTCCTTGGTAAGCTCCAGGTGCAGTGGACAGAGGAGCTACGGTGCGGGGCGAGGGTGTCGAAGCTGAGGGTTGTCAGGCGGGTGGCCGGACAGCAGGTGCTGTGACCTTACGGTTGGTGGCTGGGATGTGCTGGCTCCTTGACTTTCCTCTCTGAGGAGGCCGCCCTGGCAGTGAGATGTGTTTGCCCGGATAGGTGTTTACTTTGTGCCATTGGCGTAGCTCCTCTGTGTCTGTCTTTTCTGGATTCCTCCCCATCCCTTCAGCCTCTAGACCTCTCTGCTGCCAGGCTGAAGGGACCTTGACATCTCCTTGCAGGTCACCCTCGGGTCCTGGCAGGTTCCTTTCCTGGCAGCTCGTCATATGAGGGTTACAACTATGGCTCCTTGGGTAAGTGTCAAAGCTGGAGAATGGGGCCAGCCAAATAGCTCAGTGGATTAAAGCACCTGCAAGCAGGCTCAGGGGCTGGGGGTTTGATCCCCGGGCTTGCCCTGTCGGCCCTTTCCCAGGGGCGTGCTAAAATGGCAATTGAGACTGGGTGTGGTGACTTGTGCCTGTAATCCCAGCTCTTGGGAGGCTGTAAACAGGCAGATCACTGAGTCTGATCTAGTAGTGAGACTTTGAACATCCTGTAGACCCTTCCCTAAAAAAAAAAAAAAAAAAAAAATCTGGATAACATACTGGCCCCTTCCTAGGTGGGTCTCTGAGGTGAAGAGGTGGCACCCCCTCCTGACACCCAGGCCTGCAGCTTCTCAGAGCCCCATAGGGTGGCCCAGCGACCCCTTCCCTGAGGTCACGTGCTCCTGCCTCCCCACTTACTGTTTCCTGCAGAGAACGGCTCCAGCTCCACTGATGCTTTGGTGGACAGCACCGGTACCGAGGACCTGTCCTACAGTTACCAGGGTGAGTGGGCCGGGCAGACAGGGTGTGTGGCGCAGGGCTGTTGCTGCCTGGGTGAAACGTGGTGGTGGGTAGTTGCCTCTCCTGCTTAATGCTGGACAAGGGAACGGCCTGCTGTTCTCCTGCCCCTCTCCTCCTTACCATCCCCTGCCCAGTTCCCCGGTAACTTTCCCTTTCCTTTGAAGGGCACGACCAGTTCAAGCGGCGCCTCCCCTCTGGCCAGATGCGGCAGCTGTGCATTGCCATGGGTAGATGTGGGGAGGGAGTAGGGCTGCCAATCAGCTCCTGCCAGGGCCTTGCCCGGAGCCTCTTGGCTCCAGGACCGGGAAGATGCTTGGTGCATGGCTTCCCGTCCGATGCCAGCAGTGCCGGCTCACGTGTCTTCTGGGACAGACAGGCGCTGGTCCCTGGCGCTGGTAGGGTGGCACCTCGGTTACCCAGGCTGGGTTTTCTCGTCTGCTGTCCTCTTTGCCAGCACCCCCCTTACCTGGTCTTCCAGGGTCAGGCTTCTGGCCCCTGGGGCTTTGGTTAGGTGGGGGCACAGGAGGAAGCTTGTGCAGGTGGGAGCCAGATGAGGATAAAGGGCTGCTCTTTGTAGAGGCAGCCTCTTGCCCTCTCCTGTACCCTAGGCCTGCTGGGTCCTTTACCCAGGGGGACCATGGCAGTGTCTTCTCAGAACGCACAGGGCCAGGCACCTTGGAATCAACATGACTGGCCGAGTTCAATCCTGTAATTGTGTGCAGGGCCTGGGGTCTGCCTGGCCTGGGAAGCCCTAGCTCAGGCAGGGGAGCTGGGAGTGGAGTGAAGCCAGGGCCGTCCTCTGTGGTCGCCTCCCTGTGGATTCCCTCTTGGCTCCCCACTGGTTAGGAGCACCCCATGTCTCCCAGAGCCTGTGGCCACCCCTAGCCCTGCTCCAAGCTACGGCCCACAATTTGCCTCTTCCTAGTACCTAGTAATTTGGACAGTTGCCTCTGATGGGTGGGGCCGATCTCCAGCCCTGAGTTCACTGTCCGGACTCCTTTCTCCTGGCCCTTTCCAGACCGCCCCTTTGAGCCAGTGGGCACTCGGCCACGGCTGGACTCAATGAGCTCTGTGGAAGAGGATGACTACGACACACTGACAGATATCGAGTCGGACAAGAATGTCATTCGCACCAAGGTCTGACACCCACGGGCCTGGCCTGGGTTTCCTAAGGATAGGGTGTTGTGTTGAGGCCCCAGCACACTTCTGGGGTCCGTTAGGGAAGCAGAGAAAGAGCTGAACTGGGGCAACATAGATTCCAGGTGAACTCAACCCCATGGCCCCTTTCCCCACTGGTTGGCAGCATTCCTTCAGCAGTGGGGTGGCCTAGGTCCCTTCCTAGGCTTCTGGGGTGGCAGATAAATAGCCCTCCCCCACATCTCCCCAGCAATACCTCTGTGTGGCTGACCTGGCACGAAAGGACAAGCGTGTTCTGCGGAAAAAGTACCAGATCTACTTTTGGTGGGTGAACCAGGCAGGTGGGGGTGCCTGTCACGGTGGGAGGGGACTTCTCACAGCGGGCCCACCTCCCTGCTGCTTTCCCTCTCCTTAGGAACATCGCCACCATTGCTGTGTTCTATGCCCTCCCAGTGGTGCAGCTGGTGATCACCTACCAGACGGTGAGGGAGCAGATGTGGCTTTCCGTGGCCCCATTGTGGGACTCGGCTCCCAGCGCGGAGCCTGGCAGCCGGGGCTCTCCAGCAAGCACGGGCCTTAGGTCCCAGCTCTGCAGTGCCAGCTAAGAGACCTTGGGCACATCACTGACCTCCCTGAGTATCAGTTTCTGTCTGCAGAATGGGGCGGCTCGAAAGCACGGTGGGGCTTGTGGAACAAGCCATGGGGCTTTGAGCGTGTAGGTTTCTCTTCTCTTTTCTCTGTACTTCGGGGGCCAGAATTTGTCACGGTCATGCCTTGGGGTTTGCAACCACGCCTAGGAGGTAGGCAGTTTTTCGTGCCATTGGCACCTGTGTTCAGAAGCAGCACTTGCCCAGGGCACCTACACAGGAGCTGGCCATGGTGGTGCACGCTGTCTTGCCATCCGGACCCAGATTGTGGCGTGCGCTGTGGGCTGAGCCCGTGTTAGCAGCCCTGCTCCCTCTGTAGGTGGTGAATGTCACAGGGAATCAGGACATCTGCTACTACAACTTCCTCTGCGCCCACCCACTGGGCAACCTCAGGTGGGTTCTGTGCTGGGAGCCCCCTTCTCCCAGGGACCTGGGCACCAGGAATGGGTGGGCTTGGTGAATGCCTGCCGGGCCACAGAACAGGTCTGCCTGTGAAGCCAACACAGTGGACCATGAATTGCCCCTTCTAGCGCCTTCAACAACATCCTCAGCAACCTGGGCTATATCCTGCTGGGGCTGCTCTTCCTGCTCATCATTCTGCAGCGGGAGATCAACCACAACCGGGCCCTGCTGCGCAATGACCTCTATGCCGTGGTGAGCGGGCACCTGCCCACCTGCTGAGAATTAGCTCTGGCACAGCACATACTCAGAGCCTTGGCTCTAGTCCACCCTTTATGGCAGGCGGGGCCTCTTCCAGACGAGCTGTGCCTTCAGCCCTGTCCTGCCTTCTCCTCCTTGGTACCCCTGTACTACTCAGCACAGCCCTGCCCAAATTTTCCCTGCTTCGGTCTCCATACCTTATCTTCTCTATCCTGCCTTCCATGTATACCCACTCAACATGGAGCTACCCCTTTTGATCCCCAGAGGATGCCCTCTTTGGGTCCCTTCTGCCCTTCCTGCCTCACTCTCCCTCCCTCCCTTTTCCCCTACAGGAATGTGGGATTCCCAAACACTTTGGTCTGTTCTATGCCATGGGCACAGCGCTGATGATGGAGGGGCTGCTCAGTGCTTGCTATCATGTCTGCCCCAACTATACCAACTTCCAGTTCGGTAAGTGGAGCTTTGTCTTTGGCTGAGCCTCAGCCCCGGCCTACCCCCAGGTCACTCAAGGGACCTCCAAGACTCAGCCCTATAGGGCCTTCCAAGGCTGCTGTAGCTGCGATGGCACATGCATGTCCTCGCATGGGGTAGGTAGGCCTCTCTGGGCCTTTCCTACATAGAGGCATTCGAGGCACACGGCCGAGCCATCAGGAGTGGTGTGCACACCAGGGTGCTCAGGCTGAGTTGTCCTAGTCATCAGGAGGCATCAGACTCTGAGTGACATCTAACGGGGTGGCCAGGACAGTCAAGGGATGGGAGCTTGCCCGGCCACCACTCCGCTTCGTCCTGTAACAAGGCATAGGGCCTCTCCCTCGCTGATTGCTGGGGCTGGAGCCCTCTGCTGAGCCTGGAGGATGTTCCGTGTCCCCAACACAGACACGTCATTCATGTACATGATTGCTGGACTCTGCATGCTGAAGCTATACCAGAAGCGGCACCCAGACATCAATGCCAGCGCCTACAGCGCCTACGCCTGCCTGGCCATTGTCATCTTCTTCTCCGTGCTGGGCGTGGTGAGGGCCCAACCTGACCCGCTGTGCTCACCTCGCAGGAAAGGCGCGTGCACATTCCGAGTGTGGGAGTGCACGCTGCCCCCTGCCTTCTTTCCCAAGGGACCTTCTGAGGCCCCTGCTCACTGCTACCCGGCCTCTTGACAGGTCTTTGGCAAAGGGAACACAGCGTTTTGGATCATCTTCTCCGTCATTCACATCATCGCCACCCTGCTCCTCAGCACGCAACTCTATTACATGGGCCGCTGGAAGCTGGGTGAGAGCATCCCCAGGGCAGGGAACGGAGGGGGCCGGGGAGCCCCTGGAACGAGGGGTGGTGAACTTTGGGGACTTAGACCCGCTGAGACCCTCGGCTCCTGTGCTCTCCCTGGGGCCCTAGGAGGGTCCTTGGGTGAAGAATTGAAGGTGGCCTCGGCACTGCTGTGTCCTCTGAACGCTTTGGCTGCTCAGCTGGCATAGGCCAGGGGCCCAGCAAGGAGGGGTGTCCTTGACTTCAGCGCCTGGCCCTTCTCCCTGCAGACTGGGGCATCTTCCGCCGTATCCTCCATGTGCTCTACACGGACTGCATCCGGCAGTGCAGTGGACCCCTCTACGTGGTACCTGCCCAGCTCCCCACCTCTTCGTCCAGCTGTCCTCTTCCCTCCAGTGGGGACAGGGAAGCATAGCAGGGAACCTGGGTAGGGGCAGGGGCTCCTGACTCGGGCCTCCTGCCACTTGTCTCCCTGTCTCTCTTGTCCCTCTCAGTCTCCATGTCTCTGCTTCTCCCCAGGACCGCATGGTGCTGCTGGTTATGGGCAACATTATCAACTGGTCTCTGTGAGTGTGGCTGTCGGCTGGGGTGGCCTGGCTGGGCAGACAGCTGGGGGCATTGGCAGCATCTGGCTGCCCTGGGAGTGTGAACACCTCAGTGTTGGGCATAAGGAATAGAGGCTGAGGAGAAGATGTCAGTTCCTTCTAGAATGTTCTGTAGGCTGCTAAGCCTAGCCCAGTGTCATGATAACATGGTGTGGCAGCAAGGGAGGGGGCTCCTGCCCTTGGCCCTCCCTGGTGCACCATCCCCTCCTCCCTCTTGTAGGGCTGCCTATGGGCTCATCATGCGCCCCAATGATTTTGCCTCCTACTTGTTGGCCATTGGCATCTGCAACCTGCTTCTTTACTTTGCCTTTTACATTATCATGAAGGTGAGTGGGGAGAGCTGAGCCTCTTCTCAGCTGCTCTGCTTTGGGGGATGGAGATGGGTGTGGGCTGCCTGGGCAGCCCTGAGAGGGAGTCAGAGTTTGAGCTGCTGGAGGGCTTCGAAAGGATGAGGCCCGAAGGGCCAGGTGCCCAGGAAAGGCTGGGAGCCCGGGAAGAGCTGGGCAGCGAGTGGCCTGGCTTGAAGCTTGGCCCTAAGCTCTCTTCCCTTTCCTTGCCTCCACTCAGCTGCGTAGCGGGGAGCGGATCAAGCTCATCCCCCTGCTCTGCATCATCTGTACCTCTGTGGTCTGGGGCTTTGCGCTCTTCTTCTTCTTCCAGGGCCTCAGCACCTGGCAGGTGAGTAGTGGCCTCGGCTCATCCTGTGCTCCCTGAGAGCCTGTTTCTATGGGGACCAGCGCTTTCCATAGCCACCTCCTCATGCTCCTTGTATCATGTTCCTGGCCCATCCAAGTGATCGTCCCAGGGGCGCGGCAGGGAGTGGTATCTGTTCAACCTGTGGCCAGAGCTTGTTTGTCCTGGTCTCTGCCTATGGGCCACTCAGAGTCTAGTTTAAGAGATACTTTTTTTGTTCTTCAGTGCTGAGCATGAAGCCTGGTCTCAGGGTGCTAAGCATGGGATCCGTACCGCTGCACTCCCAGCCCCTAGCTTGCCTCTCACTCTTTACAGTTTGACCCGCGAAATGAAGGTGCAGGTGGGACGGGAAGGTAAAGATAGATTTGGGGGAAGGTACGTGCACCGCCTCGAGGTAGGGCAGGTTCTGGTCGTAGCAGACAACTACAGTCGCAGCGATGAGCAGTGAACGTGAGTGCAGGCCGTGGGTAGAGCAGGGAGGGCCTTGGGCACCGCAGAGCACGACTGCCTTCTCCTTGAGGCCAGCGGTGCGACTTTGCAGCAGTACTTGGGAGAAACAGTGACCCTGGAGGACAGGTGAGGGCAGGGCTGGGGCCAGAGCCGGGCTGTGAGGCCCGCAGCTCTGAGGTGAAGCGTCACTGGGTAATCGTAGCCCTCTGTTCGAGGAAAGGGGGAAGAAGAGGCCCAGTGCGCTGGTGCATGCCTGCAATCCCATGCTCTGGGAAGCTGAGGCAGGAAGATTGCAAGCTGGAAGCCAGCCTGGGCGACTTAGAGAATTAACAGGACCCTACCTCGAAATGAAGATAAGAGGTGGTGGGGATATAGCTTGGCACAATGGCCCTGGATTCAATCCTGAATATAAAAGGCAGAGAGCCGGGGTTGAAAGGAGGAGGACAGAAGTGAAAGAAAAGACAGAAGCAGCAAGCTGGAGGAAACTTTATGACAGGAGGCCATGTCATAGCCAGCTGAGGGTCTGGGTCAGCGGGGACTCTTCTGTCGGGCTGGGAGGAGGAGCAGGTGCCCCAGCTTTCCTGGCAGGGTCAGCAGTGCCTGTTCCTCCCACAGAAAACGCCAGCAGAGTCCCGGGAACACAATCGCGACTGCATCCTCCTCGACTTCTTTGATGACCACGACATCTGGCACTTCCTGTCCTCCATCGCCATGTTTGGGTCCTTCCTGGTACATGGGATTCACCTGGCCTGAGCCCAGAGGGTGGAGGAGGGGCCAGGGCTGCCTGTTCCCTGCACCTGACCCATTATCTCTGTTCTAGGTATTGCTGACGCTGGACGACGACCTGGATACTGTGCAGCGGGACAAGATCTATGTCTTTTAGCAGGAACTGGGCCCCTTGCTTCACCTCACGGGGCCCTGAGCTGCTCCTTGTCACCTGCCAGGCCACCTCTGTGGTACTGGGGCTGTGAGCACTGGCCCTGCCACCCAGCACGGGATGGCCGTGGGACAATGCAGTCTAGCCCAGGCCAGACTCGGTACAGTCCTGGGGTGGCATTGGGCCTCGAAGCTGCCCTCCGCCAGGGAGGAGGCCTGCTCCCCTGATTCCCCAGAAATTGGCCAAATTGCTGCTTTCTTCTCAGTGTTGGGGCCCTCTGTAGGCTGCCGTCCATCCGTTGGCTCTCCGTTTGTCCCTCTGAAGGAGGAAGGAGGGAGGGTGATGCCCGCGTGTTTCATGCCTCGCATTCTACCCATCTTCCTCCTCCTCCTCCTCCTCCTCCTCCTCCTCGGCCTGGGACCTGGGGCCCTTTTTTCCTATGCTTCTGCCCCAGAACCCTGGTTTGGGTTCTGATCTGTGTCCTGCCACAGAGTCCCGTTCTCTGGGGCTGTACCTCGCTGCCATTACTGCCCACTTTGGTCAGCCAGGATGGATATAGGTGTGGGACTTGGGGGGCTGGCCAGCTGGTGCCAGGCTTTCGGTGCTAAGGCCTACAAGAGGCCCACGGCAGGTTCCTACCCCTCAGCCTGTGCTTGGGTTGGCTCTTTAGCGGTGGCGTTGAGCTCCATTTGGGAGCCACGTCTCACTGAAGGGCTGAATTTGGAGGTCGTCTCTTCATCTCAAGCCTCCCAGACTGATGTCAGCACCAGGATTGGAGGGAGACACAGTTCATCGGTCCCGTTCTGAGTCCTCAGTCCTGCCAAGCCCCAGGTGGGGCCTTTCAGTGCCATTGACACTGCCCAAGAATGTCCAGGGTGGGTGAGGGTTGTGCAGAGTCCAGCGCACCCTGCCTCCCCCACAGCTGCAGGAGCCCCAGTGCCTATCTTAGAAAGGGGCTTCAGGAAGGGATGTGCTGTTTCCCTGTGTCCCCAGCCCCAGTCTCTTGAGACCCAGGGCTGGCTGGCTTCTTGAGTCCATCCAGCCTTCAGCCAAGTTTTGTCAGGTGCACATGTGCGTGTGCAAACACACACACACACCTTGGAGTTTACATGGAGTTGCCCCAGCTCTGGGCCCTCTGGCTGCTCTGGTCCTTGGTTCCCTTCAGCCCACCTGGTCCATTCCAGATGCCAAGGATGGGGTGAGCAGGTTGGGTCTCGCCTTGGGCTGGGAATGTGGTTTACTTTTCCCAACATGTTTTTATAGCTCTCCTTGGGCTGGGACAGGAAGTTGGTCTGGGTCTTCGTTTCAGAGCTCGGATCTGTCCATGCTATGATTGTGTTTCTGTTTTCTATGAATGAGTGCATTCAATAAAGACAACCAAATGCGGTTCCTGGGCCCATCCTTTCTCGCCTGTCCTGGGTGATGTGGAGAGGCTGTGCTGGGGCCTTCAGTCCCACGTTGGCACCACTTTCACCCATGCTTTTTTTCTGTCTCACACAGGGCCATGTCTGGCAGACACTTCTGGCCAGAGGCTAGGAACCAGGAGAGCCTTTGCATGCACCTCTCCTCTAAGATCCCCTGTGCCTGGCAGCTGCCCCTGCCCACCAGGCTGAGGCAGGCCTCACTTCTGCCGAGCAGTTCCTGGTTCATGGGTTGCAGGGTCATGGGGGGAGGGGTGGTGATACTCAGGACTATGAGGGTGGATGGTGGGCAGGCACCATGCCGCGTGCTTGTGATCACCACACTCTGGCAGGCTAAGCAAGAAGAGCTCAAATTCAAGCCCAGCCTGCATGATTTAGTATCTTAGGACTCTCAAAAGCCCCAAAATACTGGGAATGTAGCTCAGTGTGGAAGACCTTGAGTTGATTTGAACAGACTAGGAAAGGTCAAAGTAGGGGGCCAGGGCGTCTGGTGAATTCCACACAACCAAGGGGCTGGAGTGGCGGTGGGAGTCCTGGAATGGAGACAGCTTTTCCTGGTGTCCAGCTTCTTGCTGTGCCCCACAGTGCCACTGGGAGGCGCTATAGTCTTATTGCCACTGGGCTCTGGAGTTTAGGAAGGCTGCTTGTGTGGGCGGTGCGGCTGAGGCAGCCCTCCAAACCTCCAGGGAGCCCAGCTTGGCAGGGGCAGTGCTGCGGGTGTGTGTGTGTGTGTGTGTGTGTGTGTGTGTGTGTGTGTGTGTGTTTTGTGTCTGGAGCATATAGTGGGTGTGTTAGGTCCTCCTAGCTACAGTCCTGATGGGGTGGGCAGCCCAGACATTCCACTGCCCACCTCCCCTAACCTCTCTTTTTCCAATCAAGATCTGCATGGGTCTCCTTCCTGGGGTGGTGGGGTGTGGTTTTCCAGTTAGATAGGAGAAGGAAGTGAGCCAGTCTTCTGAACCAAAGACCCCTAATGTCTTTAACCTTGCCAGATCTCAGGTACCGTCTGGATAAGGCCAAGGTTACTCCACTTACTGAACCCTCAAACTGCATCTCAACTCAAGACCCCCTAAACTGCAAGCTTCCCCAGCCTGAGCAGATGCTACAACTGCAAGAAAAGGTGTGACAGCCTTTTGGGCACCTCTACATGGGCAGGGACCTGGTTTCTGCAACTCATTCTTCAGCAGGTGACCTTGGGAAAATGCACTCTGAGCCTCAGTTTTCTCATCTGTAAAATGGGGACAGTGACTCTCCCTTCACAGTATAGTTGCATTAGTAAGAGCGTGTGCCAAGTGCCAAGCACGGGGCACAGCCTCAGTAAAGGCTGGCTCCTCTGAGAGAGGGGGACTGGATAAACCCCAGCTCCCCCAGCTTCCTAGCCCTGTTCCCCTCTCTTTCTGGCCAGACTGTCTTGGACTCCTCCGGGGGCAGGGAGCTTAGAAGTAGGAGCAGTCTAAGTCCGGACAGCAGGGAAGGCCTTCACAGTCCTGCCCATAAAAGGCTTTTCCCGGCCGGCTCCCGCCTCCTCACCCGGCAGCTCCATCTCCAAAGCACGCTGAGAATGTCTCGGGCACCCCGGCGGTCTGCTCCAACTTGGTGTCTTTCCCCAAATATGGAGCCTGCGCGCAGTCCTGGGGGGGCTGGCGTGGGGGGTCGGGCCGGCTCCTCCTGCAGGGAACGGGCTGAGGGGCGAGCGGGCGGGGGAGGCTGACATCATCGCGGCGGCGGCGTCCCTTTAAACCCCTCACCCAGCCAGCGCCCCAGTCCTGCCCACCGGCTGGGAAGCTGAGACCGCTTGCTCCTGAGGCCCGAGGAACCTGTGAGTGCCTGGGGGCCACCGGGCCGAGCTCAGGGTGGAGGGAAGGCTGTGTGGGCAGGCGCCACGGGGGCCCCGCTTGTCCCGCCAGGAGCCCACCCTCTGAGGCTCAGGATGCCTCCTCTTTTCCAGAAGTCTCCAGAAGTCTGCTTCCTGACTGTGCAGTGGGATGGGGGCCTGGTCTTCATTCTCACATCGAGCGACCTGGGGCTCACTGAAATTGGCAGGGTGATGCCTATTTGTAGGCTGGTGCTGAGGAACCCAGGGGGATCACTGGGGGCCAAGGGAGGCTTCCTCGTTCAGCCACAGGAGCCCCACAGGTTGTGTCCATGCAGGGGAGACGTCCAGCTCCACCGGTCCTGGGGAGCAGTGGGTGCTCGGGGTAGGGACTGCAAGTGCTAGGAGGAAAGGACCACGGGGCTCTGCATGTGCCCTGCCTGGTTCTACCTCGCCCTGCGGCCCCTGCCCGCGAAGCTGTGGGATCTAGGACTGGCTGGTGGCAGACTGCAGGGCCAGGGTGGTTAACCTTAGGGGCCACTGCTCGAAGGGTCGCGGCCGCCTCCCTCAGGTCAGCCTTCTTGCTCCTGGGAGCTGTTTGCGATGCTGAGAAACTCCTGGCACTGCTTGTTTGGGGTGTCTGCCTGCTCCCCTCTCCATGCCTGCTTCCTGGGAAGTCTGCCAGGGGCCACCAGGCAGGAGGACACACCAAGACTCCCACAGTTCTCCTGTGCCTCTGTCCCCAGAGCTTCCATCTTAAAATGCCCCTGGTGCCTGTCCTGTCACAAACACTTTCCCTTCCTCTCTCTCTCCAGCAGCTCCAAGGTGGAGCCAGGGTCTATTGGAAGGTCTTCTTTCTTTCTTTCTTTCTTTCTTTCTTTCTTTCTTTCTTTCTTTCTTTCTTTCTTCTTTCTTTCTTTTAATGTATTTGGTACAGGGTCTCACTAAGCAGCTAGGACTCATAGTGATCCTCCTGTTTTCAGCCTCCCTAGTTCTGGGGTTGCAGGCGTGCACCACCAAGCCTAGTTTAGGTGGCCAGCTCAGTGAGCCTGGGGCGGGGCCAGCATAGCATGTGGTGCCAAGGATCCAATCCAGGTCCTTAAGCTTGCCAGCTAGCTGCTTAGACCGCTGAGCTATCTCTGTGACCCTCGAAGGCTTTCTTGGGTCTCTTCACCAGATGGGAAGGTGGAGGAAGGCTGGCTCTCCCTTGCTCTGACCAAAGTCCAAACACTATCTCTACACAGAAGGCTCCAGGGTTCTACTCTTGTCACTGTGAGCCTTGACCTTTTGACTCCTACTGCCTGTCTTTCCCCTCCTGAAAAGAAAGCCGTAAGTTGGGAACCACACTCCTTTCATGGTTCCTCTTGTGTCCAACAGGCGGCATAGGAGGGAAAGGCAGATGAGAGGGTGGGTGGGGCAGGGGACCTCTTGAGCCACAGGGGTGTGCCTAGCTGAGATGGTGGGACAAAGGCTGAGACAGGCTGGTGGAGGCCAGAAGGATGTGCTGAAGATGTCTGGTCCCATTTGTGCCTTTTTGAGACAGGGTCTTGCTAAGCTATCCAGGTTGAGCTTGGTGCCTGTTTCCCAGAATGATAGGATTATGGCATGCACTTACACACCCAGCTCTACTGTGGTCTTTGACCACAGTTCTTTTCCCAGAAGTCCTTGGGTGAAAAGGGAGAAGAGGAGCCATAAGACATAGTAAGGATGCAAGAGACATCTTTGGGTTCTGCAGCATCATGCTGGGACACGGGAGGACCATGCCCTCAGCAGTGGTCTCCCCCACAGATAGGGACACAGACTCAGAGAACAGTGAGGTGGCAAAGGGCTGCCATCAGGGTGAAGCTCTCTCATGTTCTCTCTCCACCTGGGCCTTCAGGACTGATTCAAAAGTGGGTGGAGACTGGAGGGTTAGGCTGCCCACTGTATGACCTGCCTGCCCAAGGCTGTCTGGCTCTCTGTCACCTCCAAGAGACGGGCATTTAGAGGAGCATTGCTAAAGGCCAGGCACTATATGAGGTGTTCCCTAGACGTTGTTTTATTTTTTATTTTTATTTTACTGTATTTTTGTCTTTTTTTTTTTTTTTTTCCAGAACCAGGGATTGAACTCAGACCCTTGCGCTTGACAGGCAAGTTCTTATTCTACTGGGCCATCTCCCCGGCCCCATATTTTTGTCTTTTTGAGACAGGGTCTCGCTATGCACTTCAGGCTGGCCTTGAGCTCACTTTGTAGCCCAGGCTGGCCTCCAACTCTAAATGATCCTCCTGCCTCGGTCTCCCGAGTGCTGGGAATACAGGTGTGTACCACCATGCCTGGTCAGCCAACCCCATCATTTTAGACCCCATTATCACACTGCACAGCTGGGGAACTTGGGCTGCGAAAGGCTGTCCCACCAAGGGGAGGATGTAGGAGTTTGGCAGTGGGCTGGGACTGGAGCAATGTGATGGGACTTGCTCTGCCAGCGCTGGGGTGCCAGTGGGTCTCCACCCTCCCAAGGGGGAGCTAGGCACATGCCCGCTGCCAATGCATTCTGTCCTTCCCCACCTTTGACCTCTTTGAGGTCTCTTTTAATCCCCCACTGAAAGGCTATCCAGAAAAACCCTGGGTGGGAATGAACCCTCCCAAGGCAACTCCTGTGGCCAAGCCTGACTCCTCTTGCCTGTGTCTGTCTAGCAGCCCACAGCCTGCCTGCCTCTCCCCTAGGGCTCTCCTGTGCAGGGCCAGCCTGGCCCTTGGGGGCCACGGTGCCCTGGCTGGCTTCCCAGGCTCTGGCCCCTGAATTCTTGGCTCTGTAATATCCCTGGAGGACTCTGACTTTTGATTCCTCAAGCTACTGCAGCAGGAGAACCTGAGCCACGGTGGGGGAGGGTTGGGTAGGGAGCAGTCCTCTCCCTGCTGGGTCCCCTGAGGAAATGCAGTGGCTTTGCCAAGGACGCTTGGCTTTGGTGGCTTCCTAGGTCTTGCCAGGTGCAGGTAAGCCTGAGGCTCTTTAGCTGCAGGCCAGAGGCTGGGTGGGTCTGATGGAGCTGAATTTGTATTGCCAGCTTCTGGGCTAGAAGCTAAATTAAGTTAGAGGTACCTTGTTGGTTAAGGTGGAGACAGTAAGTGACTTCATACCTAGCTGGACAAAGGTGCTTGCTGGGTTAGTCTTGGTGAATGATCTGACAGCCCGCTTACTGTCTGGCTCCTTACATGAGGAGTTATAGAGCCCAGCTGTAGAATTTCAATCATCTGAGACCCTCTTTTGTGCTGTGCAAGTGCAGAGGAACCTCCAGCCTGGGTGGGAAGTGTTGCAATCCTCCCCTGGGATGGCTGGGAGCCCCGCACAGTGTGAGGCCTACTTGGCGCAAGTGACAGTGGAGCTGTTCCCTGACCTTGTGACTCTCTCTCTTCTGTACCCTATCCTGCTTTAGCTCTGCCCCATCATGGCCAACAAGGGTCCCTCCTATGGCATGAGCCGCGAAGTGCAGTCCAAGATTGAGAAGAAGTATGACGAGGAGCTGGAGGAACGGCTGGTAGAGTGGATCGTAATGCAGTGCGGCTCCGATGTGGGCCGCCCGGACCGTGGGCGCCTAGGCTTCCAGGTCTGGCTGAAGAACGGCGTGGTAAGTTGCATTCTGGGACGAGGGCAGGGCTGGGCCATCCTGAGCTGAGGGATGGGGCCCCTGGATTGAGTGAATGCCAAGCTGCGTCCTCTGCCTGGCAGATTCTGAGCAAGCTGGTGAACAGCCTGTATCCCGAGGGCTCCAAGCCGGTGAAGGTGCCTGAGAACCCACCCTCCATGGTCTTCAAGCAAATGGAGCAGGTGGCTCAGTTCCTGAAAGCAGCTGAGGGCTACGGAGTCACCAAGACGGACATGTTTCAGACGGTTGACCTCTTTGAAGGTAGAGGAATAAGAGGCTGGGGACAGCAGTGAGCAGGTGGAGAACAGGATTCCAGGCCAGGGGAGGGGGTGATCAAAACATCCCTCACCCAGGGGCCTGCTGCTCTGTGCAGAGAAGGCCGCAGCATGAGCCTCCTGCACGGCTCCCAAGGACTTTCTCCAGCATGCACCCAAGCTGCGCACAGTTCCGGGACAATGTTTGCTGCTGCTGGCGTGGCCATTTCTTTTCGAGACAAACAGGCCCTTGGTTGGAATCCCACCTACTCAGTCTTTTTTTTTTTTTTTAATTTTTTTTTTAGACTACTTGTTACTTTTTAAATATGGCATTTGTTGTTTATTTTATTTTTATTTTTTTGTGGTACTGGGGATTGAACTCAGGACCTTGCACTTGCCAGGCATGCGCTTATTCCACTGAGCCATCTCCCCAGCCCCACCTACTCAGTCTTGAAGCTCATCCCCTGGCTGCTCTCTCTTCTCCTAGGCAAAGACCTGGCAGCAGTGCAGAGGACCTTGATGGCTTTGGGCAGCTTGGCAGTGACCAAGAATGATGGGCACTATCGTGGCGACCCCAACTGGTTTATGAAGTACGTGGCTGCCAGGGATTCTTAGTCCTTGGCTTGGCTGTGTGGGATGGGTGGCTTGGGCTGGTCCGCTTGTGGGAATGGTCAGGGGAAGCAGAGAGCCAGGAAGGAAAGAATGAGGCGACGGGCGCTCATGGTCTTTTAGCTTTGGCAGTGCTGGGCGTGGAACCCGGGGGTCCATGCAAGCTCTGCAGTGCCCTCCCTGAGCCCCAAGCCCAGCCCCATTCATACTTCTTGGCTCCTTCCTCGCCACTCTTCTGTGCTCAGCAAAAGAATGGAATGGGATTGGACTAGAGAGCAAGAGGGATCACAAAACAGGGGAATATACCAGCAAGTTCTAACTGCGCTTCACCCCGTTTGCTCCTCTTTTTAGGAAAGCCCAGGAGCACAAGAGAGAATTCACAGAGAGCCAGCTGCAGGAAGGAAAGCATGTCATTGGTCTTCAGATGGGCAGCAACAGAGGTGCCTCCCAGGCTGGCATGACGGGCTACGGGCGACCTCGGCAGATCATCAGTTAGGGGGCGGGACCAGGCCCGAGCCCCGGCTTGCGCAGCTCCCAGGATGCCCATCCAGCTTAGCCGGCCCCACCCACACTGTGTAGTTCCTTAGCCCTGGCCAAGCTTTGAGACTGTCACTGGGCAAAGGTGACTGCACACGGGCAGCTCCAGCCCAGCTTCCCCAAGCACCACTGCCCGGCTCCTCCTCCCAGCCGCACCCCCGCCACTACCTGCTCCCCCACCCCCCGGGGCTAAGCCGGGGGCAGGTGGGCTGGCACTGGGTGCGGAGCAAGCCCACTGTCTTCCTTGGCAGCAAAAGCCCAATGAAGGTGACCCAGCTCAGCCTCCCCCATCTTTTCCTGGAAGATTTTTGGGGCTGAAATTGAAAAAGGAAAAAAAAAAAAATATATATATATATATATATATACATTTTCTCAGGCCTGGCTGGCAGAGTTTGATTTTCTGTAGTCACATCTGCTTCCTGAGCAGGAAGCAGGTGGCATCTTGGGCTCATATGTGTTCTTGGTTGCTGTCCCCCCTCCCCAGAGGTCAGAACAGGCCTGGAGAGGATAGCGAATCTCAAGGGGAGAGGGGACAACCTGGCCACTTGAGTTAGCTGTGGGGGCAGGAGGAGGCGGGATAGGGAGTGGTAGCCTCATTTGGAAGGTCTTTATTTTGGAAAAGCTGTGCAGAAAAAAAATTAACAAAATGTTGCTGTGAAAAGAGAAAATCAAATTTTAAGCATTAAAAAAAAATTCCAATCAATTCACTAGCTCAGATGAAGGGAGGAGGCCGAGAAGGGGAGGAAAATCCAGGTGGTCAGGCAGGCGGCAGCCTCCGGGGAGGGGTGTTTCCCTGAGCACTCTGCAGAGGAAGACGGGGGTCCAGAGGGCAGGGCGGGCTGGGGCTGCTTCGGTTTGTCCTGCCCGCACTCACCTCACGCCTGCTCCTCCATCCTGTGGCAGACTTCCCTAGGGAGGCAGTTCAGCCCCAAGGAGCTGTGTCCCTCCTCACTATGCCAGGACCCATGTACCTACCCTCTAGGAGGAGGGGCAGGAGCAAAGGTGAAGGAGGCAGGGCACGTCCAAGGCTGGCACCGTTTGGGAGTGCCACTCCTGGAAAAGGCTGGGAAAGCACTGCTTTAGGGCAGGTCGGCCTGGGACTCTTCCCACGACTCTGTCTCCCACGACACTCGCCGGCCACCACAGGGCCTCAACCCACCTCAACCCCCCTCAACCCACAGCGTTAGCAACCCCTGTAACTGTCATCACTGGCTTGCCCACGAGAAACGGTCGTGGCATTCGGCCAACAGGAGAGCCAATCCCTTGGCAAGGGCTTCTCCTTGAAAGCATCCAGTCAGTTGGAAGAGGATCCTGTCCTCTCTCCAGGCGGTCCCCTGGCACCATCTTCTGCTGCTTTTCCTTCTGAAGGCCCTCCCCTCGCTGAGGGTAGCCAGAGAATGCTCAGGTTTCAGGTGTAAGCATCAGGACTGCTTTTTCCCTAGAGTGCCCCAGAGCTGGGAGCAGCTTCCCTGACTTCGGGAGAGCCCGGCCTACTTCAAGTCTTCCATGCCCTGAGGTCAGCAGATCTGTTCCTCCTTCCCCTGCAACAGGTCTAGGGGTTGGTGCTGACGAGGGCAGTCCAGGGCACTCTGGCTGTTCTGGGGCAGGGTCCAGTCCCCTTCACCGAGGAGGTCTGGGGCGAGGAGGTCAGATGTGGTGGGAGGGCTCCCATTCTCGGTCTCTGCTCCGTTCAGATCCTTACTGTTGCAAAGCGGCACTGATTCCAGCTCTGTCCCTTCCTCTCTGGGTTTTCGACTCCGTGGGGGCCAGTGGCATGGTCCATTCCTACTACCTCGGGTGGAAGCCACATTTCGGTGGCTCATGTACAACTCCAGCATGTAGTAAATGGTCCAGAAGACGGTAAAACAGCCCACCAGCACCAGGGTCTGGGAAAAGCCAAGCACCCATGTTAGGGCCTGTTGTCATGCCAAACTAGGAGCTCAGAGAGTTCCTTTCCTGGGAACACCCCCGCTGCATGCTGCCTGCTCCGGGCCACCACTGCAGGACTGGCCTCTGTGGGCTAGGGGCCTGGGGTCAGCACTGTGAACCGCTGCGGGGATCTAGGTCTTCCCACCCTCCCCTTCCCCGGGTCAGCCTGCACAGCAGCTGGACAGTCCTATCTGCCCATAACTCGAGTCTTGGCCCCGCTACCTTCAGCGTGTTGGGGGTGATGGTGTAGCCATCCTCCTCCGGAATTTTCAGTCCGGGTGGGCAGGGCAGAGCAAAGCCATCGTGCAGGTATTTGCCGCTCATGGCACTTTCTAGCAGCCTGTGAAGAAGCAGTGGGGAGAGGGTGCCTTATGGACCCTGTCCCTGTACCCTCTGCCATCACTGTCCCCTCACGGCCACTGAAGAGAGGGAAGGGAGCCCAGAGCTGTGCAGGAGGTGTGGCTTCCGCGCTCCCGGCTGTCTGTAGCTGCGGCCCAGAGCAGGAGGTACAGCCGGGGTTCTCGGAAGGAGACAGCATCCCTTGGCGTCGTCTTCTCCCGCTGCCCCCAGCCGCCTGCCCTCCGACACACAGAGCCGCACCTACCTTTGTCTTTCCCTGATGTCCACGGCACTCCATGTGGAGCCGTACAAGGTCAGCTGCCACTGCTGGAGGACACCCAACTGGGGCAGTTCATCACCTAGAGCAGGCGGGCAGCCGTGAGCCACACCCCCTGCCACCATGCCAGCCCGAGACCCAGCCATCCAGGCACTCACACCACACAGCCCATACAGTTCATAGCTGTCCACCCGGGACGCTCAGCTCTGCAGAATGCCTTACAGGGTGCTTGGCACAGGACAGGCAGGTCACAAAGTTGAACTCAAAAGCAGAGTTTTGCCTTTATTGTCCGTATTTTGGGATTTCAGCTAGAATTTTTCTTCTTTTCCTTTACTTCAGGGGTACTGGGGATCAAACTCAGGACCTTGTGCTTGCCAGGCTCTTTTGTTTTTATCTTATTTTAGGGTTTTTTGAGGGGATTTTTCATGAAAGAAAATTTTTTACCAAGTTAATAAAGGTTTGAAAAGCACTAGTTGGTCTATTGAATACCTAGCTTGACTAGACTCTGGGGGAGGGAGTGCAACTTCCAGCCTCTTCATTGTTTTTTTGGTACCAACTTGGGGACCTTGCGCTTGCCAGGCCGGAGCTTATGCCACTGAGCTATATCTGGCCTCTTCAGTGTTATTGCAGATATTCAGTAGTCACTATCACTGTGACTTTCTATAGGTCACTCCAAACTTCCAGGCCTCAGTTTAAAAAAAAAATGGTGAAAATCAGTCCTGCCTGTACCTGCCTACCAGGGCTGGCTGAAGCATGCTTATAAATGAAAGGATTTATAAGGAATTCTTCTCCAAGGAATTGAGAGGTGGCAGCATGGTTGGTTTTAGGGATGCACAGTCCTTGGTGCCTGCTCTGTCCAGTGGCAACCCTGTGCAGTCCACGTGGGGCCCTTTCTGGGGGGGCTCTGAGATCCAGAGGGACAATCAGGAAAAGCGGGGCCCTGAGGCAGAGCAGGGGGCCTCACCTACGTCCCTGATGACCAGTCTGTATGTGCCCTTCGCTCTTTCTCCCCAGCACCGCACAGTGGAGAAGGTCCAGTCATTGAAGCCACTGGGATCCCTAGGAAAGAACCATGTCGAGGAGATGAGAGGCAGGGCACAGGGCGCCGACCTGTCCTAGAATCGCTGCCTCCCCAATGCAGGAGCCACAGACATGAGCTACTGCCCTGTGCTAGAAGGGGACCCGAGCGCTGCCCCTTGACCCTGGGACCCCAGGGAATGAGGGACTTGGGCCCATGTGTCACAGGGGAAAAGCCAAGGTGGGGAGGACACAGGCTGGAAGTCCCATAGATGCCATGGATGCAGGTTTATTCTTACTTTCTCAGCACTTAGTAGCTCTGTGACTTGCTCACGCATTTGTAAAAGGAAGCCACAGAGCCTACTCCAGCAGGCTCCTCCACGATTAGAGGATACATCTATCTATCACAATGTCTAATACATCATAAACCCTCGACTGAATCATATGATCAATGGCTTCCAGCTGTCAAGGGCCGTCAGGGTATGGTTGCTTGTGACAGTGCCGGTAAGCTCTTGTGGACAGCTCAGGGGGCCACAGGCAGGCGTACGTACGAGTCCAAGCTGCGGGGGGCGCCGATAAGGGACATCATGCCACTGGGACAAAAGAGTTTCAGTTCCAGGCTGCCGCGGCGGGGGTGAGCGATGGAGACAGTCACTGCCACGTGCTCCAGGGTCTTCAGCCCCGACATCTCCAGGTCCACCCTGCTGACTGTAGGAAGTCAGGCTGGGGAGCCGGGAAGCCGATCCATGAACACTTACGCCCCCACTGCATCCCAGCGTGCACAAACACACAGGCTCGCCGAGCCACACACAAACATCTACAGCAACCTGGACCCTGGTGACTAGGACGCATGGCTGCTGACATTTACAACGTAGCTTAGAGCTGAGAGGGGAAGGCAGCGCTTGGCCAAGACAGTGTCAGAGCCCAACACAGCGACTTCACTTATCCATTCACCCCAAGATTATCTACTGAGTGCCTCGTCCATTTTAGGCACCTGAGTAGATTCTGGGAGCACAAAGACCAGTTGGGCACGGCACCCAGCTACCTGAAGACAGACGGAAAAGGATATGACCTATGTGAAACCGGCCAGGCAGGACAGGCTACGAGACAGGATGAGGAAGGGCATGAACGCCGACTGTGGAGGGTAGCCTGAGAAGGGAGAGATGGTGTGGCAAAGACGGGGGAGAGGGGGTAGAAGCAAGACCTGTATGTGGAAGACAATAAAAGTTCTTCTTAAAAAAGCAGTGAAGAGCCAGTGAGATAGCTCAGTAGACTAAGCGTCTGCTTAGGCAAGCTCAGGGATTAAGGTTCGACCCCGACTGGGCATGGTAGCGCACACTTGGTGCTGGGGAGGCTGAAAATAGGAGGATCAATCACCATGAGTCTGAGCTTCACAGTGAGATCCTGTACCAAACATGGTTAAAAAGAAAAGAAAAGAAAAGAAAAAAGCCAATCTCAAACTGGCATGTAACACATCATTCTGTTTACATAGCTATTTGCATGGGATTTCCCTGTACAGGTGTTTTTCTTTTTCTTTTTTTGTGGAACTGGAGATTGAACTCAGGCCCTTGCCAGGCAAGCGCTTATTCTACTGAGCCATCTCCCTGGCTTCTGTACAGGTGTTTTTCAACCTCCTGTGAATCTACAGTTCTTTGAAAACAACAAAACCCTAATGGAATGGAAGATTCAGTTGAAGATTAGAAAGAAATTAGAAATGCAACGAGAAATAATTCTTTCTAATGCACTTTTTTTCCTAGCAATTCATCCTAATATGCAAGAGAGCAAGGAATGCCTTCATTTTACAGATGAAATTCAGAGATTCAGAAAAGAAAAAAAAAAAAAAAAGAAAACAAAACAAAAAACCAGGCTTGGAATAACACCTGTTATTCCAGCACTTGGGAGGCTAAGGCAGGAGGAACGAGGCAAGTTCAAGGCCAGCCTAGGCTACATAGTGAGTTCAGGGGCAGCCTGGACTAGATAGCAAGACCCTGTTGCAAAAAACAAAAACAATAACAACAAAAAAAGGAACCTAGAATGGGAAGGGTTTTACTTTTTAAATTTTAAACAAGCAACTGAATAACCACTAAGAAGACAACAGTATGCAATATATTATTATTTTTTTAATTTTTATTTTTATTTGTGTGTGTGTGTGGCCAGCTCAGCCCACCAGGGGGTGGGGCTGGCTGGCATGTGGTGCTGGGGGATTGAACCACGGTCCCTGTGCTTTGCTAAGCTTGTTCTAAGTAGGTGCTTTAGACCACTGAGCCATCTCACTGGCCCCATATATTAATTATTGAAACTGTCCTACTAATCTGTTTTGAAACTGTCTCATTGCTATTTGTTTCTCAATAAAATTATTTTTAAAAAACTCAAGCAATTGAGAGCTATTATAAATTACTGAGCAAGGATGGAGGGTTTTGTTTGTTTTTGTCTTTTTGAGACAAGGTCTTGCTATATAGTTCAGGCTGGCCTTGAGCTCACTTTGTAGCCCAGGCTGGTCTCGAACTTCCAAGATCCTCCTGCCTCAGCCTCCTGAGTGCTGGCACTACAGGTATGTACCACCGTGCCTGGCAAGGATGGAGTTTTAAGCATAAAATGCTAAAGGTTTCTTCAGTGGCAGGTAGGAGAAACCATTGAGGAGGAAAGAGGTGACAGAGGACTGGATCATTCTAGGGCTAAGGTGGTATGTGGGGGACAATTGGGACTGAAGGAGGACAAGGCTCAAGGCTGTGACAGACTCTCTGTCCTGCTCAGCTCCTATCGCTGCTGACCTCATCTCAGTCCCGTCACATTCACTGAAGTGTGTCACATCCTATTTCACCACTTCTCCAGTATTGTAATGTTATATTTTGTTTTCCTGTCCTCCTCTTTCTTCCTTTCTTTCCTGAGGACTAAACCTAGGGCTTTTTATACTGGGCTACATCCCCAGAACTTTTTTTTTTTTTTTTAATTTTTTTTAAATTTTTATTTATTAGAGAGAGAGAGAGAGAGAGAGTGGTGTGTGTGTGTGTGTGGCCAGCTCAGCCCACCAGGGGGTGGGGCTGGCTGGCATGTGGTGCTGGGGGATTGAACCGCGGTCCCTGATGCCTTGCCAAGCTTGTTCTAAGTAGGTGCTTTAGACCACTGAGCCATCTCTCCAGCCCCCTTTTTTTTTTTTTTTTTTTTGAGACAGGGTTTCCCTATGCAGTTTGGGCTGATCTCAAACACAGTGATTCTCCTGCCTCAGCTTCCTGAGTACCGGGACTACTGCATGTGTCACTATACCTGGCATTGACCTTTCATTTTTTATTTTCAGACAGAGTTTTGCCAAGCCCCTAAGGTGTCCAAGCTGGGATTGAACTTGTGATTCTCCAGCCTCAGCCTCCTAGGGAACTGAGATTGTACCATTTTTATTCTTTTCTTTTTATATTGGTAGAGAGCAGAAATAAAGGCATGTATTTATCCTGCCAGCTGCGACTAGCCACCTTCTCTTATCCCCTTAATTATTCAGGCAGCTGCAGTCTAGCTGTTGTTCCCAGGAATACAGTGGAATGATTCTTTTTTTTTTTTGCGGAACGGGGGATTGAACTCAGGCCGTTGTACTTGCCAGGGAAGCGATTATTCCACTGAGCCATCTCCCCGGCCCCTAGTGGAATGATTCTTTCCAAGGCCCCCAGTGGGGTCTCTGTCAACCCCAGTCACATTCTCCATCTTTCTTACAGAAACCAGCCTTGACCCTGTAAATGATCTTCTAGTATATCTGAGCCTTGTCTCCAAAAACAACAGCAGCAAAAAACAACTAGAGAGAACAGATGTCCTCAAAACCTTACTTCAGGGCTGGAGAGATGGCTCAGTAGAATAAGCGCTTGCCTGGCAAGCGCAAGGGCCTCAGTTCAATCCTCAGTGTCGCAAAAAACCAACCAACCAACCAACCAACCTTACTTCAGTAATTACCAATACCTGGTCAACATACTCCTTACGTAGCTGGTTTTACCTCCTCCCCTTCCCAGATTCTTGTGACAGACTTCCCAGGCACCTGGCAGCTCATCAGTAAAGATTCTGGTGTGCATCTCTAGGAGGGGAGGCCTTGGAAAGCTCTTTATTCTTCTGTGTTTCTCTCTGCTGACCCTGACTGGTGACACTGTATTGGCTCCCCGAGGCTTCAAGACACAGCACAAGCGCTTCCTGAGGCCGTCCCATCCAGTGCCGGCCTCTTCCCATACTCCCACCCAAGCCCTCTTGAGTGCCTTGGCATTCTCTGAAGACACCCCGACTTTGTCCGTGTCACTCCTACTGCCTGGACGCCCTTTCCTCGAACCTTCCCTCCCGGCGAGCTCACCCGAGAAAATCGCGACCAATCTTTCTGAGAGCCTCTGCATCTTCCTGAGAGCAGCTCTCTCTCCTGCGCCCTCCCAGCGCCTGCCACCTGTCCCCGTGCATGCTGCCCTGCACTGCACGTTGCAGTCTTCCCTCCAGGCCAGGAGCTCTGCTGAGCAGGAGTCACGGCTCACCTCCGAACCCACACACTTTCTACACTGCCTGGCAAAGTGGGCTTCACATAGTTGGAGAGTAAGTGAGCGGCTCAATCAAGAGACAGTGCAGAAGAAAAAGCCAAGATTGCACTGCAAGGGAAAGGCTAGGGGAAAAGCTAAGCAGGGACACGGAGACAGGGAGGTCACATTTGGGGGGCTAGGGGATGGTGATGACAAAGATGCACAAGTGGCAGATGCTTGGGAAGCAAGCTGGCTTTTGAGAGGCGATAATGAAATCCCAAATTTTCTGTGCTAAGTGCACTGTATTGGTGGAGCATCAGTAACACGTAGTGCCAGGCGTGGTGGTGCAGGCTTTTTTTTTTTTTTTTTTAAAGAGATTTATTTATTTATTTATTTATTTATTTTGTGTGTGTGTGTGTGTGTGTGTGTGTGTGTGTGTGGCCAGCTCAGCCCTCCAGGGGGCAGGGCTGGCTGGCATGTGGTGCTGAGGGATTGAACCGCGGTCCCTGTGCCTTGCATAGCTTAGCTTGTTCTAAGTAGGTGCTTTAGACCACTGAGCCATCTCACCAGCCCCCGGTGCAGGCTTGTAATCCCCAAACTTGGGAGGCTGAGGCAGGAGGAGGCCATGAGTTTGAAGCCAACCTAAACTACACAGTGAGACCTTGTTTCCAAAACACAAACTGGGGGCTGGGGAGATAGCATGGTGGTTTAAGTGCCTGCCTGGCAAGCACAAGGACGAGGGTTTGATCTCTACTAGGGCATGCTGTGCTGGGCATGCCATGCTGGCCGCTGAAACTGGGCGTGGCGGCGCACTCCTGTAATCCCAGCACTGGGGAGGCTGAGACAGGAGGATCACTATGAGTCTGAGCTGTATAGTGAGACCCTGTACCAACTGAATAATAACAAAAAAGAAAGAAAGAAAGAAAGAAAGAAAGAAAGAAAGAAAGAAAGAAAGAAAAAAAAAACCAAAAAACTGAACCACAAACTGGGCTGTGATTTAGCTCAGTGGCACAGTGCCTGCTGGGGAAGTGAGCTCTTGAGTTGATTCTTGGTGCTCAAACAAACAAGGCACACAGTGACTTAGGAATAAAAGGATGAAGAAATATATTCTGGGCACAGGTGGAGGGCAGCACTGGCATGGCGGAGAAGGACCTACAGGGAGGGAAGTGACACGCTACAGAACAGTCTGAAAAGGAGCCCAGTCAAAGAGGAGCGCCTTCTCTGCGTGCACGATGTGCCCGGTGGCACGCTACAATCTCGTTTCTTTCTTTTATCGGTGTGGGTGCCGCCTTGGGTGGCCATGCATGCAGGTAGAATGCAATTATTTTTAGAATTTCTAGTAAATTAAATGTGTTAGCATGTTAAAGAAGCTAATGTTGAGAACAGCGTGTGGCACATAAAAGCCACTCAGGTCCCAGCTGGTGATCCTCACTGTTACTATTTACTCTTTGGGGTCTTTCTATTCTAAAAGAAACCAGGGCTGCTGCTGTTGCTGCTTCTTTTTTCTTTTCCTTTCTTTTCTTTCTTTCTTTCTCTCTGTAGCAAGGATTGAATGTGGCACTTTGCCCTTGCCAGGCAGGCATTTATACCACTGAGCTATCTCCCCAGCCCAGAAACTACGGCTTCTGTTTCACAATATTCTAGTGGGAGCTATGATAATCTCTACCCTCCTGTTGATGAGGGATATAACAAGAAATTTAGATCTAGGAGAGGTGTCAGCTAGTCATAAAAATAAGAGGGAGGACAAATGATCTTTTTTATTTTTTGAGCCATGGCCTCAGTTCTACAGTCCAGGCTGATCCTGAACTCACTAACTTAGCTCAGGCTGGCCTTGAACTCATGGTCCTCCTCCTGTCTCAGCCTCCCAAGTGTTGGGATTACAGAAGTGTGGTATCATGCCCCGCATGAGGACAAGTGATCTTAGATTGAAGTCTCAGAAGACATTTAGGGCTCTGGAGCAGTAAATGAGCAAGTAAGGGAAAAGGGGGATCAGGTATAGAGGTCAGAAGAGGGGTCACAGAGGCCAGAGGAGAGGGGCTGCAGCAAGGTCCAATTAGGCAGGTGAGAAGAGCAAGAAGGCTAAGAAGGATGAACTCTGAATTAGCTTCAATTCCCGGTTCTGCCAAAAACAAAACAAAACAAGAACTCTGAATTAGCCCTGCATGGGAAGGAAGAGGCACCATGGGTAATGGATCGAGGCTGCACAGCAGGGGCAGTGGATAAAACTGGGGCAGTGGTCTCAATGAACTCGTCTGAAAGGCTGAAGGGAAGGCAGAGGGAAGAATGGCAGAGAGGGGAAGAGTGGGCAAAGGGGCAAAGGACGGGCCTCACAGCACAGGCAGAGAATTAGTGCACACTCAGGGCACAGACCAGGAGGAAGGGCAGGCGTGAGTGGGTGCTCAGGACTCGCTTCCCATTCACGGACTCTGCAGAAGACACTCCTGCCCCAATCTCATTCGGGGGCCAGGGAGTCCACTCAGTAGAATAAGCGCTTGCCTGGCAGGTGCCCAAACCTCCTTCCTTCCCCTCCCCCCAGGAGAGATTTCAGACACAGTGCCTGCCTGCGCTAAAGGAGCAGGGCCCTGTACCCCCACCCCCCAACTTCCTCTTGGCGGGGTGGAGGCTGCCTGACTCTTCAGCTGCACTGCTCAGTCTGCCACACGCCATTACTTAAATTAACTATAATTAAATACAATTAAAATTCTGGCCCGCAGTCACATGGCCACATTTTAGTCTTCCACAGAACTGCAGTGCCATGGATCCAGAGCATTCTCATCAAGGCATAAAGTTCTGTGACAACTTTGCTCTGGAGTCTTAGAGGTATCTTACTTTCTCTCCTATTGTAGGATGTTCATCTCCTTCTGCCTGAGGAAAAGTTCCATTTCTGGCTCCAGATAAGGAATTGCCTACATCCTTCTGGGAAAAACTACAGCTTGGCTGAAGGGGGTTAGGTCTCTCAGTTCTCTGGGGCTTAGTTGCTCAGCTCTGCACAGCCCTTCAGCCTTTCAGACGAGTTCACTGAGACCACTGCTCCGCTTTTATCCACTTCCGCTGCTGCGCAGCCTCGATCCGTTACCTGTGGTGCCTCTTCCTTCCCATCCAGGGCTAATTCAGAGTGCATCCTTCTTAGCCTGCTTGCTGTTCTAACCTGCCTAATTGGACCTTGCTGCAGCCCCTCTCCTCTGGCCTCTGTGACTCCAGACTTCCTCCCTTCATGCGCAAGCTCTGGGTGACAGTCATCCTGTCAGAGAGGTCACCTTCCCTCTGACATGCGCAGCAGGCCTGCTTGCTGCCTGGGTGAAAGACTTCTTTTGCTAGGTGTGGTGGCTCACACCTGCAATCCTAGCACTTGGGAGGTTGAGGCAGGAGGACTGCTAAAAGTTTGAGGCTAACCTAGGCTACATAGTGAGGTTGGGGGCAGCCTGAACCACACAGTGAGACCTTGTCTCAAAATACCAAAAAAACCCCAAAACCAAAAATAACCCCAAAAACCAAAAAACCAAAACGAAACAAACTCCTCTAGCCCAAGCCCTAGACCTTTTCCTCCTCCTATGCACCCACTCCCTCCCTACACCACCTCCTGCTTTCCTCCCCTGGACAATTTGTCTCCCTTTCCCTTGCTCCCTAGTGACAAGTACACAGTTTCCAGAGGCCTCAACACCTAGCAAATGTGTCAGACATCCTGAGGCAACACCCCTTGGTCACAGGAAACAAAAGATGACACACTGGAGAGGCCCAGTCTTTCAAGTCAACTCTCTCAGCTGACAGAGACAACGAGAAACGTCCTAAGTGGGAGATAAAGGTCAGAAAGCACACAATCCCCAGGACCATAGGTGCAAAGCCAGGGGCTTCCGACAGAACCACATTCCTGGGCATGTTTTGGAGTGGCTGTGCCTTGGCTGGTGCATTATGCCCTTTCCAAGACAGCATTCCTTTTACGGGAAATGTAGTGACGGGCCCAAGGCTCCTTCCACAGTCGGGGAAATTGGCAGGAGCCAGGCCTGCTTAGGCAGAGGGCAACCCAACTCCTCCACGCACACACTCCACCCAAAGGAGCCTGACCCTCCTCCTTCTCGAGTCCTTCCTTTGGCTGCTCTTTCTCCTGCCAGGGCTCTGGTCTGAACACTTCTGAGGAGGCCAGAAAATGTGAGGACATGGTTTTGGTTTGGGTACAGAGTATGACATGCTTCAGCCTTCACAGAAAGCAGTGAATAACTAACTCTGCTTGCCAAGTTCCTCAAAGGAAGAAAGTCCCTGAGGGGCCAAGGGTGGAGAAAACTGGGAAATGTGGACACAGGAGCTGGGGCTGCCACCTTGGTGGCAAGCACGTAGGTCTGGTGTGTGCCAAGCACTGGGTTCTATAACCAGCACCAAAGCAACATGACAACAAGAAACCGTGCAGAGGTCCTCTCTAAAAAGACATCCTTGCCAGGTGTGGCAGCACACGCCTGTCACCCCAGCACTGGAAGGCTGAGGCAGAAGATCAGTGGGAGTTCCAGACCAGCCCGGGCTACAAACTGTCTCAAAAAGACAAAAAGAAAAAAGACCCTAATCTGCTTCCCTTAAGGGCCTCCCACCTCTGTGCTCAAAGTACAACATCACTCTTTAGACAACACCCCTCCTTTCTTACCCTGTCACGCAATCCCAGCAGCCCAGGCACCATCTAATTAGGCGGGCAACTCTAATCTAGGGGACCCCTTCTTATGCCTCTGCTCACCACCATAGGTGGTGTCTGGCTCTAGGAGACAAGCCTGAACAGCCAAGGAACGAAGTCACAACTCCTTCAGCTCACCCCGGCCTGGGTGGGACAGCCGAGCGATCTTAGCCTGAAGTCTCAGGAACTTGGTTCACGTTCAGCCCCACGCCTGCCCCGCCCTCCCGCCTGCCTAGCTGACTGCTCAGTGGCTCCTTTCACTCCTAGGAGCTCAGGAGAAAGGTCTTGTTTAAGCAGCCATGGGGCCAGCCAACTCAGAAGCAGCAACATGTCCTAAAATGGTCAAAGAAAACTCCACAGGTTTGGCTAGAGCTCAGCTCCTGAAGGAAGCGGGGAAATCGGCAGGGAGGATGAGCCAACCGCCCCTCCATCCACCCTGGGACTGAGACCTAATGTGAACCCCTTTGTGCTGAGTACTTACCATTCCACAGGACCTCCAGTGAGTGGGGGGACTGCAGAATAGCCTTGTTCTCTTTCAACATGGGGCTGACGTAGGAAGCTAAGTAAGGGACAGACGTCCAGATCTGTTAAAGGAAAGGGGTACTGGTGGCAAATTGACAAACAAGACTGATCACACTCACGCTCATGCCTGTCCAGGCTTAAGCCCGCACACGCTCCTCCACATGACCCACAAGGCCCAGCTCTATTCTGCCTCTCTGCATCATCACCTCTTCCACCGAGGCTCCTGCTGACAACCTGGATTGCTCCTGAGGCACCGAGCCACGGAGGCAGAGGAGCTGCCGTGTCCAGGGCGGGAGGGAGAAGCCAGCACCTCAGAGTTCCCAGCTACAGTCCCTTCTACTCCACTAAACAGTTTGGGGGCTTCTATTATAATGTAGAGCCTGAGTGCTTTTCACGTATAAAATGGCTATGAGCTGACAGAGGGTAAAAGTGGTCAATGAAACGGTGCAATGAGCACAGCGAGTGTGTAGGCTGTGCCCCTTGACACGCTGGGAAAGGCTTCAGCATCCGCCGCCTGTTTGCCCACCCCGCCCAGGCCGCCTTGCCCCCACCTGCTCACCTTGGCTGCATTGACGAGTCTCCAAGCACTGAGCAGGCCGAAGCCGTGCTGGTGGCTGTGGCTGAAGCCCGCCTCATTGGTGAGCCAGTCTGCACGGCGATCTTCATACTGAAAGGACAGGGCCAGCATCATAACAACAGCCTGACTGTAGTCTCCCTGCTTCCCTCTGGCCAACCCAGTCCTGAAGCTCCCACTGAGGTCACTGGAATGGATTCCCCCAGGAAAGCTGGGAAAGGTCAAAGCCCCCTGACGTTGCTACCTGGCAGTTTCCTTCCAGAGAGGGAGTTAGGAGGCATCAGCTGCAGAGCAAAGCTGTCCACCCAGAATGCCCCTTGGCAGGTAAAATGGCATAGCAGAACAGGCCCAGGTTCAAACATGTGATCTTAAGGGTATTACCACAACTGTTCCTTACAAGTGCCACTCCGGAAGTGACTTGGTGTCTAACGCTTGGGACATTTAAAATCTGAGGCCTCCTGACACCCAAAATCTGGTATGGGCTGGGCCTGGCCACCTGTCTACCTACCAGGACCTTACCTGGGTGGCTGTGAAGACAATGATATGCTGGACATCGCGCCATGTGAGACACGGCCGCACCTGCAGCATGAGGGCGATCATGCCAGCTGCCAGAGGTGCTGCCGCAGAGGTCCCCGTGTGGCCCTCTGTGCAGCCGGTGCCCTTCTGGAGGTCCCAGTCGGTGGTCACCTGGGAAGTGGAGTGTGGAGCAGTGAGGGTGTCAGAGATGAGCTCAGGCCTCAGAGCAAGCCTCTTAGGTGGCCCTGGCTTTGACAAAGCTGTGTGTTTGACCACAGGGGCCCACAAGCAGGGCCAGACAAGGGACCCTCAGTCCTGCTGGCCTCCAAGAGACCTCTGCAGAATCAAAATGAGTGGCTTCTGAGGGCAAGGTTGTAGGGGGAAGATGTAGACATGCCAGGGGCCTTGGCTGCCACCAAGTTTTCTGATTCTTCTCCCACTCCCCCAATTCTCCACCCAGCCCCTCAAGCCCCTTCAAGCGGAAGTAGCCAGGGGAGCTTCTGGGCTTCACCTGCAGCTGAGACAACAGAATGGCCAGTGGAGGAACTCCCACTTGGCAGCCCAGGGACGGGGCTGGGGCAACACACGTGTGCACCCCACTGGCTTGGGGTCCACTCAGTGTCGATGCAGCCTGCCCGCCCTGCTCTACTGTACTCAGGATGAGCTGCCTGTCTGCTCCGGCTGGTGTCTGGGGTGGGTTTCCAGGATCTCCTTTCCCACCCATAGTTCTGAGGAAAGATGCAAGGGCGGAGATGGCATCTGCCTGGCAATACCCTCCTTTCATGTCCCACCAATGCCAGAGTCTCAAAAGGTTCCGCTGAGGAGGGCTCGGCCTCAAGCTGCTCCTCCATGTGGCACTTAGATCCTTATCCCGCGGTGCTGGTGCAAGACCAGGGACTTCCTTTCTTCCAGTTTCTCTTCTGGGTCAGATAGCAGGGTGCCAACTTTTGCCAAGAGCTGCCTTTTCTCCATTGTACTCACTGCTTCCCTCCCAGCTGTTACAGCAGCTGCCAAGAAGTGCAGTTTTCACCCCGACACCGTGCATGCCCAGCCAGAAAGGCAAAAATACTCTCCAAGTTGTAATCTCAACGAGAACAGGAAGCTAGTCCTGTGCCAGGGAGCAGATTGATTTTTTCCTGCTAAGGAAATGGGCTAACAGTGCCGGTCTAGTGTGTAGCTGCAAACTTGCCCACGACGTAGGAGGTGCACGGCACCCCAGGGAAGTCCAGGGAAGCTTCCAGTGGCCAAACCGTGGGAAGTGAACACTCCCATCTCTGCCCTAAGAGAGGCAGCTCCACCAGCTGTCCCAGGCATCAGACAGAAACTAGCAACAGAAGTTCCCAGGGCAAAGCCATTCCAAAGATGGAACTTGACTACGTGAACTCTGTATTCATTTCTGGCCAAATTCTAGTTGGGACAGAAGGCTGGGGAAAGGGTGAGAAGCAGAGCTCAGTTTGGAAGGGAAAGGCCAGGCAGGCACTGCGGAGCAAGTGACCATTCTTTTGGGGAGCCTTAGGGCCTGGCTGCAGCAAGAAGCAGATGGCCCCCCGGCACTCCGGCGGGGTGAAGACAGAGCACGTTCCTGCTCTTCCTCCTACCCAAGCCTGACCTGGGGCAGGGCGTCCCATGGACACAGGCCCAGGCTGCCAAGCACAGCCTTGCGGCTTTTCACTTCAGTCCACTCCCTTTTCTCCTCTCCCGGAGGCAGGGCAGGGTGGGAGGGAGGAGGGAGTGGGGTCAATTGGCACGGCGCCTTGGAACATTGTGTTGACCAGAAGTCATTTACTGGCATAACAAAATTTTAGTTTTGGAAAATGAACTTGACCCTGTAGGAAGACAAAGCAGTCTAATTCCCAGTGGTCCCAGAGAGCCCTCCCCACTCGGCCACTGGAGAAATCTGACTCCAGACGGCTGCAGCACAGCTCTTGCCTGGAACCTCTGGTCCCCAGTTACCCTGCTATGGGCCACAGGGACACGCGTGGAGCTCCAGGACTATGGCCCTGAGACCTGGCTTAAACCCGCGGGGAGGGAACCCAGCCCAGGTGGCTCCCAGGACTCCAGGGGCTCCCACTCTGGTCTCCCTCCCTGCCCCAGCTCCAGCTGTACTCTAGGCAAAAGCTCTGCCACGCTGACAGGAGACAGTCATCTGGCTTCTTGTCCCGCCCATCCCATAAAGACAAAGCCCCGAGCTGTCCTCCTGAGGACGAACATGACAGAACGAACAGTATTTACACAGCGGCTGAATAGCAATGCCATGAGGCTCTATTTTTAAGCCCAGGGCAAGAAGCCAAAGCCGAAATTCTACCATGGGAAGGTATTTCAAAGTAGTTTAATCAATATGATACTTGTTTCTATAACAATATGTATATTTGTTCCAAGTTAAAAATTTTGACATCAAAGCCGTTCAAATGGATTTATTCAGAGCCCTCAGCAGTCTCTCAACAAAGGCCTTAAGAGGCTGAGCTCTTCGAGGGGAGAGGAGCAAAGAAACACACGGTGATGGCTGAGAGGGGTCATGCAGGACAGGCAGGGGCACAGGGACAGGCGTGCGACAGGGACAGGCGTGCGACACTCACAATGCTCCGGAGCATCTTGTCCCCACCGCTGAAGGTGACCGCCAGCATGGAGGCACACTCTTCTGCATAGAAAGGCATCCGGCCCTCCTCATCCACAGCACCTGGCACCAGGAGGGAAATGGGAGCCACGGTGACAAGGGCATCCCGCAGCAGGGGCCTGGTACTAGTGGAGGTGGCTCCGAGTTACCCCTGGGGGCAGGCTTGAGCTTAGAAATTGATCTGAGCTGGTGAGGCCTGGTGGCACGTTCCTATAATCCCAAGTACTAGGGAGGCTGAGGCAGGAGGTTTGCAAGTTCAAGGCCAGCCGGGCCAATTTAGCAAGACCTTGTCTGAAACAAACCAACAAAAACATGTTTTTGATAATTTCCAGGGCAAAACTGAGCGCCTCCCACCTTTATACTTAGGCATTCAATTTCTTTCTCTTTAATATTTACTAAGCATCTGCCACATGGAAAATATCACATCCTGATCTCAGTCGGGCAGGAAGTTGGGCAGGTAAATATTACAGCTGCAGTGACAAAGCCCACAATTGGGAGCACAGGTTAAGGCTAGAGAGGAATCAGGGAAAGCTCCACACAGAAGGCAGGTGGCCTGTGGAGTGACAGGGCTGCAGCGGAGACCTGACTAGCCACCGTGCGGAAGCATTCCCAGAGAAGCCCTCTCGGACAGCAGGCCCATCCTGACCCCAGCCCAAAGTGCTGCCCTTGCTCACGTTGAGATAGACACACAGAAGCAGTGGCACACTGGGTCTCTCTCTCTCTCTCTCTCACACACACACACACGCGCGTGTGCACAGAACCACTGGGTCACTACCTATGGTGACGGTGTAGATGGAGTTGGCGTAGCCATCGTAGTTGCAGTTGTCATTGTGCTGGCCCCCATTGCCACTGGCCACCACGAAGATGCTCCCAAAGCCCTGGCGACCGGCCATCACTCCATGTTGCAAGGCAGCCTATGGAGCCAAAATGTCAGGATATCAGCCGAGGGGCTCACAGAAAGACCCCTACCCACCACACCAGCCACTCTTGCCTTCTACAAGGAACAAGGAAGAAAGCTCAAAGGGCACTGGGTGTGGGGAAAAGATACACAGCAGGGTACCAAATGGGATGGGAGGCTGAGGCAGGAGGACTGCTGTGAGTTTGAGGCAAGCCTGGGCTACCTAGTAAGTTTCGGGCTAGGCTATACTACCTAGGGAGACCCTGCCTCAAAAAAACCCAAAGAAGATGGGGAGGAAGCTTAGAGTACAATGAAGTCGGCTGGACATACTGCTTAGCTGGTAAGAGCCAGGCCAACAAGCTAGTCAAGACCAAGGTCAAAGGGAAGCAACCTGAAGACATCACTCCATCCCTCTGAGAACCTACGCCCACCACGCCCTCCACGCCCACCACCCCTAGCCCGGGCTGGGCGTACACTTCCTGAAAGGAGGCTGACGGACCACAATGCAGCTGGGGAGGGTGCAAGGAGGATGGACTTGCAGTAGTGTGTTTAGGGCCAGGTCTCCTGGTCTCCCCCCAGTTTACCTTTCCAAGCTGGTGGGGGCCATCCACTGTCTTCCCGTCATCATCAGGGCCCCAGCTGTTGAGAAACAGCCGCAGGGAAGAACCAGAGCCAGGCCGTCCCTACCCACCCGGCCTCCCAGGCTCTGCTGGCCACCCCGTCTGTGCCGCTTACTCTCTTCTTGAGGGTTCCAGTTCACGACACCCATCATTATTATTTTTTTCTTTCCTTTTGGGGGTTCTAGGGATTGAGTCAGGGCCTCCCACACACTTCCACTCTAAGCAAGCCCTCTATCACTGAGCTACCTTCCCAGCACTGGGATTCTGTCAGGAAAAGACAGATGCTTCAGAGGTCTGGCCCCTCTCCACAGCAGAACACAGAGGACTAAACTAAGGTTCTTTTTTCCCTCTGGAAATGTCCCCAGTGTAGGACTTAACTTAGAGATTTTCTTATTCAGGCCTTTATCCTGACCCTGGACTCCAAATGGTGGGTCCCACTGACACACAACAGCATACATACAGCCTTAGAGCAGAACAGGGTCACTTCTTGGGGTTGAGGCATCTGCACAGGGCTAGATAGGAAGGCCCCCATGAAGGGCCGCTCTCACTGGGCTAGCTCTCAGTTCTCAGGCTGAGGAATTCTGCTCTTTGAGAGGAAATACTTTGTGGATGACATCAAGGATTTAAGAGGGACTGGCTAGAGGCAGGCGCAGTGGCATGGAGGTCGCCCACCCCCAATTCCTCCTTATCCTGCCCACCATTGTCAGAGCCTGAAGCTGCAGGCACTTTGTTGTAGAGGGGTCGGGACTGGCCCTAGGATTCAGTTTACCTGTGGTTGGAGGAGGAAGCTTGGTGAGTTGAGAAAATAACTACCTGTGTGACAAGCAGGACACCCCTGGCATTGTGATCTAGCTATTGGGGTGACAGGAGCTTAAGACTGCCCACGGCCGGGCACCTGGAGAATGGAGGGCAATAGCCTTTTCAGCTGAATGAAGGGCCCGCGTGGACCTGCCTGAGCCAGCCCAGCATGCTGGCCTCATGTTGGAGGATTCATTCCAGGTGCGCCACCCTCTCACCTGCGCTGCCTCACCCGCAGCTCTGCCTTACCTGCAGCTGTAGATGTCATTGATCTGATAGTGCTTGTTGAATGCCACAGCCTCCATGCTGTCCGTGAGCGGCCCGTCCAGTACCCGGATGCCTAGGCATGGAAGACGCCAGATCCTTACTCAGACTGGCTCCCCATGAAACGGGTAACTTCGCTGCCCCCCAAGTGGGGGACTGGGTGGTGGGAGCGACATGTGGGACACCTACTTCCCCTGTGTTTTTTTGGTACTTTTTTCAATTGTACCACATATCTGTGTCACCTGTCTGAAAAGACTTTTTTCCTGTCATGCTGGAGCTTAGGCTGTAATGATCCCAGGGTTTTGTGAGAAAGGAAGGCTAGAATGCAGGGAACTCATTTTCTTCCTGTCTTCAGCCCAGTCACGTAAAACAACTAATGCAATCCTTGACACAAAAGATGGTGGGTAAGTGGTATGCACTACAAGTGGCACTCGCAGAGATGTTTGCCCCCCAAGATTGGGATGTCATGTCTTGTGAGACCACAAAGGGACAGCTGGGGCTTTCAAAAGGGGCTCAGAGCAGGGCATGGTTGCTCACACTTATCCCAGCACTGAGGTGAGGCTGAGGAAGGAGACTTGCAGGCTTGAGTTCTACCTGGCTACTCAGCAACACTGTCTCCAAACAAAAAATAAAAAGGGCTAGGGCTGTAGCTCAGTGATAGAGCAAACTAATACTGACAAATAGCAGGGCGGGCGGTCTTGAGCTCTGAAGGTTTCTGGCCCACTCTGCAATCTCATCTGCAGAGGACTGCTGCCTCCTGCTGGAGAAAGAGAGGTATGCAGCCAGCCCACAGGCTCTGCAGGTTCGCAGGCGATTTTAGGAAAGGGGGGGGGGGAGGTGTTTTCCAGGTCCTTCCTGTCGCTTTCTGAGCTGATGGATAAGGAGTGAAGTGGGCCATAGCACACTTTCAGTGCGGGACTGGGCCGCCCAGCTCTCAAGTGGCTGGAGAGCAGCTGTGACAGCACAGGGGGCCGGAGAGGTGGCCCTGTGAGGGCAGTCTACACAGGCGTGGAGTCGAGAAGGAAGAGCTGTTGGCAGGCACTTCGTAAACTACACAAGTGCAAGCACAACTTAAAGGAATAAGCTGTTACAATTTGGGTCATGGATCAGAAAAAGAGACGGGGAGACAGGAGAGGTGGTGCTTTGGGACAACGGATGTGCTGCTAACGATTCATTAGGATATCACTGCCCTGAAAAACCAGCCAGCTAGCCATCCTATTAGTTCATCCTTTACTGTAGGCTGTGTGTATTTGGGGTAGAAAAAGAAGTTGCACAATGGGGTGGGGGTCTGGCAATGACTGCGGTGCCCACGGCTGAGCCAACCAGGGCCATCGGGCAGTTACCTGCTATGCGGCTCCCGTAGGCCACGCCCACTGCACAGAAGCTGTTGTTGGGCACAGCGGCGATCTCGCCTGCACACCGCGTGCCATGGTGGTTGCCATTCTCCACATCCGGGTGGGGCATGGGGTCAGGATCATTAGAGTTGAGGTCATAGCTACCCTCAGGGCTCTGAAATATTGAGGGACAACAGGCAGCCACTCACTGGTTAGAAGGAGGTAGGTCCTAGGGGTCCCGGAGAGAAAGAAACTGGGAATTTGGGACAGCCTAGGATAGGAGAGGGGTAGCTAAAAATCAGGTTAGGAAGAAGGTACCCAGAACTGTGGGGAAACAAGCTGCCTACAGGGGCCACTCCCTACTCCGCAGCTGGGCACAGCAGTAGGAAGCAGGAAGTTGAGGTTGGTGCTTTCCCTGGGGGCTGAGCACCTGCTGCATCTCAACTGCCAGCCTGGAAAGCCGGCTGGAAGAGCCGAGGAAAAGGCACCCCACCCAACCTCCAGGCCATCTGGTTTGGCTCAGTGCCTGCTAGGTGGGGGCATGGGACAGAAGCAGGGTACAGAAGGAGCTAAGAGTGCGACAGGGAGGTGGGGCTGGGCCACTCACATAGTTGGGTGCAATGTCCTGGATGGTGTGCTCTACTCCGTCGTCCACCACCACCACCGTCACCCCGCGCCCGGTTACATTGCGCTCCCACACACCTGTCACGTTTATGTCCCTGCCAGGGCTCCGCCGGTTGTTCTGTAGGAGACAGGGTGGGAACCCAGTGACACATGGGTACCCCAGAGACAAGATCAGCTAGCAGCTCCCTTTCATCTAGGCTTCTGCCCAAGAGCCAGGGGGACGCTGTGGGCCAGCAGGTCACATGGACCAGAGCCAAGAGTGTCATGTGAGAGCTCTGCCACAGACTTGGTCCCCAGGAACGTCTGGCATCCCTCATGGTCGACTTGGGGTAAAACAGTGGATAGTCTAAAGATTGGACAATATAGTTATTATGCCAGCCCATAACGTGGCAGGCACTGTTATAAATGCTTCATAAGTACTTTCACTTCCCCCAACCAGAATTTCATGAGGCAGGTACAATCAGTCTCCCTTTTGCAGATGGGGAACCTGAGGCACACAGAGGTCAAGCAGAGGTGCATGCTAATAAGTGGCAAAGTGGGTGCGCATGCCTGCCTGAGTGCCTACAGGCACTGGCAGGCCAGTGTCTCTCTAGATGGTGGACATGGAAAGTAGGGGCTGAATACAAACTCGAGTCCTGGCTACAAAAAGTCCTTCAAGTGAAGGATGGGGGGGGCACAGAAGAGGTGTACAGTAGAAGCCAGTAGAGACCCAGACCAGAACCTACCCACTGGCAACAGAAAACTGGACTCACCAGGTGCCACTGCTGCGGGTACTTGGGGTCATTGAAGTGGACGCTGCGCTTGGCCCGCTTCAGCAGCCTCTGCTCCGAGTGCCAGCGCACAGCCTCATGCCCAGCTAACACGGCCTCAGCCTGCTGCCGGATGGCCTGCACCTCCGTGGCGTGGCTAGGCCCAGCTGGCTGCACAAAGAGGTAGTGGCCCCGGAGCTCTCCGATGCGCCCAGCATTCACCAGCCCTGCAGCCTGGGCCACGGCATCCGCTTGCTGCTCCAGATGTTCTTCCTGGTGATTACCTTCCGGGCTGTCCAAGTGCACAGCCCAGCTGAGCCCCCCTGTGCCCTGGGCATCAGGCCCGCCTGCCCCTGCCAAGCCCATGACCCAGGGAACCAATACGAACAGCACAGCCAACTGCAGCCAGAGGTGGGTGGGCAGGCCCGGAGGGGCATCCAGACATGGCACTGTCTGCCTCCCCTTCGGCATCAGAGCAGCAGGCTGCAGGCAAAGAGAAAGGACAGAAAAGACCAAGAGTTGAGGGCTGCAGGAACCTGAGAGGGTGGCTTGGGCCATCAGTGTGTGCCCCCCAACTCTCAATTTGCTCCTTTCAGTCTTCAGCGTTTGATTCTCTCTTTTAGGTCACCCTTACTTCTGCTCAACGAGGTTGGCAGCAGGCTGAGTATGGCCCAGCATTAACCACTGGATGGCTTCCCGCACACCATGGCCCCATCCCCACTCTGTCAGAAAGCAAGCCACACCCAGCTTCTCACCCACACCACACTGCTCTTCCCGCTGTTGCTACTCACAAAGTACAATAACGCCTAGGAGTGACAGGCAGCAGCTCCACTGCTCTCTGCCAGAGGATCCCACCCCTTGTTCCAAGGGGACGGAAATCTTATCCTAGCTGACATCCCAGTCTGGCGGTCCTCAGTGGGCCCCATGCCCACCTGGGCTCTCTGTGACGTTGAGCTCCTGGTCTGGCTAACCACGTCACACTCATTTTGTGCACCTGGAGCAAAGGTGTCACCTTCGCTGAATAGTGTTGATTCTGAGCATAGGCTGTAGACCTGTGGGCCCCAAGAACAGAAGAAATAATGTCCCACCAAACTCAGAGGAGCAAGCAGAGACCAGCCACGAACCCCAGGACTAGTGACCACTGGAACTGTCTACAGATAGGTATAATTTTTAGATATCTAAAATAGGCCACACAGCTAGGCCTCCAATTCTAGCACTTAGGAGGCTGAGGCAAGAGGGTTGCCACAAGTTTGAAGCCAGCCTGGGCTACACAGTGAGTTCAAGGTCAGCTAGAGCTGCATAGCAAGAACTTGTCTTTAAAAAAAAAAAAAAGGCTACAGGCTGAAACATCTGGCACAGTAAGGCCAAATTGGGTACAAAACCCAGAAGCCATACTTCTTGTCCTATTATGTGGCTTTTCTCATTTGTTTTCTAGTAGCCCAGCAGTGGACTTAACTGTCATTAAAATCTCTCCTGAGAAAGTAGGCAATTCAAGGGGTGGGGAGATGGCTCAGTAGAATAAGCACTTGCCTGGCAAGTTCAAGGTCCTGAGTTCAATCCTGGGTCCCACAAAAAAAAAAAGAAAGAAAAAGAAAGTAGGCAATTCAGTTGCTAGAAGTACAGGCAGCCAGTGGGGTGAAAGAGGAAAAAGCCAGAGAGAGGGAGAGACTGGGCCAGAGAGGGGGCAGGGGGGTTGGAATGGAACTGAGCAGGCATACAGGGCAAGTGGCAATGGGAGAGAAGAAAGGAGTGCACAGCAGCTGCAGCCGCCCCGTAACTAGCTTGACAGGCAGTTTGGGATGGAGAGCTCAGGCTCCAAGCTCAGCCTCTAACTGCCCGTAGAACCAGGGAAGTGGTCCCCAGAGGCCTCAAAGGACAGAAAGGGTCAAATGTGAGCTGGTGGGCAGGTGTGGGACAGGGACAGGTGAGTGGCTGGGCTCCTTTAGAACCTCTGCTGTCTGCTGAGCCCAGAGGACAGCTGAGAACTCAGACACACACAGAAATGAAAACAACTCAGAACATCCTAGAAAAGCACTGACTTCACTGACCATTTCTTTGAAAGAGAAGCTATCTATACCACCTACCATTTCCTGCTAAATTCCCCATCCCACAGCTGTTCCTTAGGTTTCTGTGCATATTCTCACAATTTCTCCCTGCCTGCCTACCAGTAGCCTCCACTGTCCCTAAGTCCTCAGGCATCTTCCCTTAGTGACTGTTGGGAAGCTGAGTAGGCAGGCAGGCTCCTTCAGTCTCAGTAGAGCCCACCACCGATTTCTGAAGGAGAAACCTGAGCTCTTCCCATCTTCCAAAAATCAAGCACCATTGCTTGTTTTGTTTGTTGAGACAGGGTCTTGCTATGTAGCTCAGGCTGGTCTTGAGCTCACTATGTAATCCAGGCTAGCTGGTGGCGATGCTCCTGCCTCAGCCTCCCAGGTGCTGGGATTACAGGCATGTGCCACCACGCCCGGCAACAGCAGCATTTTTCTCAACCAGCCTTCTGGGCAGGGAACTTTAAACACCTCCCGGAAACACAGCCTCACTTCTGCCAAGTGCTAGGCCTATCTTTACAGGTTTAAGTGGTCAGGGAAGAAGGGCAATCCAAAGTCCACGATTCTGCTCCCAAGAGACTGCCCTCTCAGTCCTCACAAACTGCTCCCGGCCACCCGCCGGGGCCACTTTCACTGATCATCCCTCCCCTGGCCTCGAAGGCTCAGAGCTCCGCGCTCCCTTCTTCATTAGGACCTGGAATCCCAGACCCGGGGTCCCGTTCCACTGGGGTCCCCCATGTCAGGACCAGAGGCGTCCTCTGTGCAGCGCCCTCATCCTCAGACACCAGTTCCCCCCGCTTCTGGCGGCCCGGACTTCCAAGGTCCAGCCCCCACCTAGTTCCCAACTCACCGGCCCGGCCGCAGCTGCCGCCGCCGCCGCCGCCGCCGCCGCCTCCCTGCGGAAACTCGCGGCTTCCCGGGAGCCCCAGCCAGTGACAGCGGCATCACTTCCGCCCGGCGCCGCAGCCAATCAGCGGCCGGGCTCGGCGGCCCGGCGACCCGAGCAAGCCGCGCCTGGGGCAGCATCCACAGGCGGCCTCTGTCGCCGGGCCGGAGGGCTGCTGGGCTCCGCTCGCGGGGCTTCCGCGCCCCGACTCTTCTGGGCGTCTTCAGCAGCTTCCCTTCCAGAGGGTTCTTCTCCTTCATGGCGTCCTCTGTAAAGGGCACCTCGGTCCCGACCTGTAAACATACCTCGTTGCTCTTTTCCCCCTGACCTCCATGGGCCCGGCTCGCCCTGTGGCCCTCCCAGCGGGGCGCCCGCCTCCTTCAGGTCGCCTTCCTTCTCGCGGTCAGACGTCCCTCTTCGCTGCGCCCCCGCAGAGGCCACTAGGATCTCCGGGGTCTCCCGCAGGCGCCGCCAGCCCCAGGCAGCGCCGGCTCTCGGCGCCAGAGGGCGCTGTCGCGGGCGGCGCGCAGAGTCACGGCCTCTCCTCCCGCCGCCGAGCCTCGCCCCCTCCGCTCGCGCCGCCGGAAGTGGGCG